CAGACAATGAGGAAAGGAACACAATCCTATGTGTAGAAGCATGGAGTCCTGCACAGTAAACAAGGGGTTAGTGGTGCATAACTCTAAGTGATTCGTTTTCTTTCTTTTTTAATACTAAAAAGGTGACTGTGGCATATTCAACAAAAGCAGAGCTATAAACATCATCCAGAAGGGCCATCTTCAAGTAGGAAAAATGTCCATTAGTCATAAGAACTTGCACCAGGGGTTGTACAACTGATTCTCTGAGGAGGTTGGACTAGATAATTTCTAGGGGTCCTTTCACTCTCTAAATCTATGATCCTATCAACCTGTGACTAAACTGCTCTTACATTAATGTAAGTTGCTCATTAGCATTTGTGAAAAAAAACTTCTGTGTATAGGCCTAAACTGAACAGAGCAATTACTTCATTGGCAGATTTTAATTTGGTGATAGAGGATCACAGCATTACCTGAAAATTTAAAGGTGCAACCTGCATCCTATAATATCTGAATACCCGGTTTCTATCTTGTACAAACAGTTTACTATGCTATCATCCACAGCCTGTGTGATATACAGAGAATCACTTAAAAAATTACCTGCATTGCCCAAAATGTGCTAATTCTGGCCTCAAACTGTCAGTCAGAGTAAAAGGTGTATTGTCTATCCTTTGACTACCATTGCATAGCAGAAAGCACTGCAATTCACTAACAAACTAACAACCCTGTGCTTTCAAGTGTAAAACAGGTGCCTTTGGGGATCATTTTTCTTTCATAATTACTGAACTCCGACTGAGGACTTATTAGGTGGAACATACTAATAAGTTGTAATTAGTAACTTCTTCAAAGTGCTGTGTATATTTCATTTAGGTGGGATTAAGAAAAGACATACAAGACACATATCTCATTTATAGTGCTGTTCCACGGGGACTGTCACCAGTGGGGCAAATCCTTCTTCGGTCTGTAGAATGTCACATCAGCAGATGCTAATTCTAAGACACAAAAAGTATAATTACTATTAAACACCTCACTTCCCCTGAACAAAACATATTCTAAAAAATGGTACAAACAACCTGCCACAAAAATGTATAATAAACATCCTCTTAGTTGTCTTAGGCCAAAGTCCTACAATGGGCTCATATTTCATTGTGCAGCCTCTTATAAAACAAACCTAAGTCATTCATTACTAAGAGTAAATAACACCAGGATAGAAATAGCATGGTATAGTGCAGCAGTGCTGGACAAGGCAACCGCAAATACTCCAGGATGTTTACCAAGAAAATCCCAAATAGGGTCGCAAAGAGTCAGACACAACTGGAAAAAAAAAAGTGCAGTAGTGTCAAACTCAAATAGAAATGGATCCCTGTGGCCACAAACTGACTTATAAAACCATAAATTAACAGTATCTATGTTTTATTGTATTTTTAATTTACTTTCTTAAACATTTCTCTATTACATATTAATTTGGCTGTGGTAAACTTGGGAGTTGTGCTCCAGCATGCCTTTAGGGTCTAACATTTCTACTGTAGCAGAACCAGTGGGCTGAACTTGGAGTCAGAAGACCTGGTTTTGAATCCCATCTCTGTCCGTTAGTAACTCTATGACCCTGGGCAAGTAACTAAACCTCTCTGGGCCTCAGTTTCTTCACCTGAAAAGTGGGGCTATTAATAGCACCAAACTCTTCAGGTTCTTAGGATCAAATGAGATGTAAAGCTCTTTGCCAGACTTAAATTGCTATATAAAACGTGGGCTATAAAGCATGCTAAAAACTTGCTCAGTCTAGTTCGTTTAGAATAGGGGCTTCTTTTAAAAATATATTTTTTGAAATTAATTTATTTAAATGTAAATAGTTGCAAAGCAAGTTTAACAGGTCCTTGCTAAAGTTTAATAAATTTACAAAAATATTTTAAAAGAATACTTTGCCAATATTTAACATTCTTTTTTAAAAATTTTGAGTTCAAAATACTCTTCCTCCTTCCAGCCTGCCACCCTCCCCCCATTAAGAAAGCAAGCAATATGATACCCATAAAAAAAAAGCAAAAAAAATTGAAAAAAGTACACTTCAATCTACACTCAGAGTTCATCAGTTCTTTCTCTGGAAGTACATTTTTCATCATGAGTCCTTTGGAATTGTCTTGGATTGTTGTGTGGATCAGAGCTGTTAAGTCTTTCACAGTTAAATATTGTTACAATTTTGCTGTTACTATGCACAATGTTCTCCAGGTTCTGCTCCCTCACTTTGCATCAGTTCATATAAATCTTCCCAGGTTTTTCTGAAACCATCCTGATCATCATTTCTTGTGCTCCATCACAATCATATGCCATTCCCCAATTCATGGGCTTCCCCTTAATGTCCAATTCTTTGCCACCTCAAAAATTTCTGCTATATTTTTGTACATATAGGTCTTTTTCTTTTTTCTTTTATCTCTTTGGGATACAGACCTACTAGTGATGTTGCTGGACCAAAGGGTATGCACAATTTGATAGTCTTTTGGATATAGTTTGGATATAGTTCCAAATTGTTCCCCATAATGGTTGGACCAATTCACACCACCACCAACAGTGTATTAGTGTACCTATTTTTCCATATTCCCTCTAGCATTTGTCACTTTTTTTCCTTATCATGTTAGCCAATACAGCAGAGGGTTCTTAACCTGAGGTCTATGAACTTAATTAAACAGAAAATTTGTAACTCTTTTTGTAATAAAATGTATTTTGTTTTATGCATTTAAATACATTATCTGAGAAGGGTATACAGACTTCACTAGACCACCAAAAGGACCCTAGGCTTAGAGGAATAGAGGCTGCCTCACTTCTTTGCATTTGGTGCTCATTCTACTAAGAAGCTTATGTCCTATCGTATATAGCACCTGGGCAGCTAGGTGGTGCAGTAGATAGAGCACCAGGCCTGGAGTCAGGAAGTTATTTATTGGTAGTTTTTCAGTTGTGTTTGACCCCTTGTGACTCCATTTAGGGTATTCTCAGTGAAGACACTAGAGTGGTTTGCCTTTTCCTTCTCTAGCTCACTTTACAGATGAGGAAACTGAGGCAAACTGGATTAAGTGACTTGCCCAGGGTTACACAGCTAGTAAATGTTTGAGGCCAGATTTGAACTCAGATCTTCCTGACTCCAGGTCTGGCACTCTATCCACTGGGACCTGAGTTAAAATCCAGCCTCAGACACTTTCTAGCTATGTAACCCTAAGCAAGTCACATAACTGTTTGCCTCAGTTTCCTTATCTGTAAAATGAACTGGGGAAGTAAATGGTAAACCATTTCAGTATCTTTGCTAAGTAAACCCCAAATAGGGTCACAAAAAGTTGGACACGATTGAAACAACTCAACAACAACAAAAACAGAGCATCTAGAATTTAGGTGCAGCTTTGCTAAAACACCCAAGATACTCCATCTAAGGGAGAGAAAGAGTTGTACCACTCTAAGTTACTTAGAAGTGAGTTAATCTCTCTGTCTTTTTTATGCAGAATGGTTTAATTCACTTTGGCAGAGTCTACATGCACAACTCAGTGTTTAGATTTGCTTTTAAATCAAACAATGGGTTACTTCAAATGTGGAACTGATTGGTCACTGTAGAATATGACATTTCTACTCATTTCACATATGGAATGGGGTTGAATGAAAGTACAAATCCTTAGAGAACATTCATGGGAATAAGCTTATAGATGGTAGACCAGGGAATTTTCCTGACAACTTTTGGAGACTCCAGGGACATGTGTGATGTGACTTGGCTCTGAAGGCCATGCTCTTTGAGATGAAGAAGGAATCCCCTTACTGATCAGAAAGAGCTGATAACTCAATGAAGCTTTAAAAGAGAGTTACTCTTTTCCCATAATAAAGTGTGGGGAGGGGAAATCTCATCTTCAGGAAATCTGGTGACCTGGGAAAAAAGAGTTCAACTGACCCTTCTTTTAGGTGGTTAGACCTCCTCAGGATGGAACCTCATCTGGACTACATGGCCGGGTCCAAAGAAGATAGGATCCTTAGAAGAGAAAGTAAGAAGGCACAGTACCCTAGTCCTAGCATCCAACTGTGGTTATTTATTGTTAGACATAGCATTCTTATTTTCCAATTACTCATGCAAGTACTGTCCTTTTGAAATGTGACTACATATTATTAATTTCTTAGCAAACATGACATCTTATCTCTCCATGTGAATGGTATCCCTGTCAAAACACTTAACTCAAGAAGATACACATTTATTTTAATGAGATTTCCATCACTCAGAACATTTAAAAAGGGAACAATACTCATTGAGGGGCATAGGTTCTCTTTTAAAATCTGTGAAATTATAATCACCCTTTGTGTTACATCATGAGATCTGTGTCTGAGTGACCTATGAAAAAGGTATCTATAAAAATGAAGCATATTAAGATCATTAAGTTGGCCTGAAAGTTGACAATGGCTTTATACACTGAAAATAATTATGCAAATATGGGAAGGATGATCCAAGGGTATGCTGGAACCAGCTCCAACAACTTGAGAGCCAATTATTAAATTTTTAGTGAGAGCATTTATCTTAGAAATTGGCAAATGCTAGAAATGAATGCTATTGTTTTGTTGATTGTTTAGAGCCAAGAAAGTGATGGATAAAATGTTAATAATGTAGATTAAACTTAAAAGTGTGTCATGCAGTTTCAGAGAGCCAGTTGCCTAATATTTAGCAGCATACCCCTGGCAATGAACTATGATTTTATCAGCCTGCAGAATGCCCTCCCATTAAGTTTCTGATTTAGTAAATGTCCTACTGAGCTGTCTAAAGCTTAGCTTAAATGACTTACCCAGGGTTATAGAACTACTAAGGGCCAGGGGTGGGAAGCCAGGTTTTCCTGACTCTAAATTCAACACTATCAATTAAATGTTTTCATCCTACCAAGTTGGAAAATACTGAAGTAGGAAATAGTAAAATGGACAAGACTATAGCTTCAGTTATAGGATTATCATGCCATGTTAGAAGTAAGTTACTGAAAATAAAACTATTAAGATGCAAATAGTATTTTTAAAAATTTATTTTTTTAAAATAGCAATTTGGCATTTACTAAAATAAATCATCTTTATCAATTTTATTGAATATTTTTCTGAGTGTAGGCATGATCCCCACTTTGGTAGAGAAACATAAATCACAGACAGTTGGATATTTTTCACTTTAGTATAATCAACTACTGATTATTCAGATGTTAATTTGATTTGTCCTTTGATTCATCTTGGCCATTTTTATTGGTTATTCCTCCTCAATCAAAGAGAAAGTCAGGGCAAGATGAATTCATTGAATTACTTGGAAAACGGTACAAAATATGGTGGGAAGAATGTCTAATTATTGCTTATTAAACTTGTTATTACATGTTGATTTTCTTTACCAGTTCCTCATTAAAAAGGAAAAAAAATCCAAGATAACAAATAAGGGAGTAATGCCACAAAATTGACTATCATTAGAATATCTGTCAATCATATGATGGCAAACCAAACAATTCTGGCTTAAAGTCCTCCAGTGATTTCAGCACCAAGGTTGCCTTTCTTGTAAGCTCTGGGTTTAATTGTTCATCTGGAACCATAACCACCTGCATCCCAGCTGCAAGGGCTGCCTCAACTCCATTTGGAGCATCTTCAAACACAAGGCACTGTGGTACAAAGAACAAGAACAAAAAGACAAGTTAGTAAGTCATTTTATGTAATGAAACATTTAAACTCAATTTTTATTATAAATACTAACACCAACATCACCATTATCATTATAATCATTATCAACATCATCATAATCACCAACATCCTCATCACAATCAGTTGGTCTTATTGTGTAACATTGGCAGGTAAAACAACTGGCAATGGTCTTACGAGTTAGTAAATACTGCTGTCTGACCAGTAAACAGGTTTTCAAGTTGCTGTTGGCACTCCAAACTTGTAGTTTAGTGAAGTTATGGTAAGAACAAACATGACTGAAATTCTGTTTAACTGTGTTAAGCCATGTCAGTAATTCTCAGTCAAAAACCTATTATATTAAAAAACAAAAATCTGTTCAATCAATAATTGAACATTACAGGCATGAGAGGAAATGATGAAAATTTCATGTTTTAAAAATATAGAGTATTTTCAGGGATGTAAATGTTTTATGTACTGTAGTCTAAAAATTAAATGGTTAGGGTGTTTTTGTTTAAAAATTCAGTTGCTTGTGTGCCAGTGTTATGCAACAAAAATCTAATTAGTACAAAAATTCAGTGCCCACCTGCAGCATCTGTTTTGGTTTATCATGTATATCCATTTTATTATCTAGATTACTTCCACAAAGGAATTTAAAAGCTTCTGTGTTCTCTTCATTCAGAAATTCACATTTAAAAGGATACTATATTCATCATCAAGCTAGTAAATGTTCTTGCTGGGTAAACGTTTCTGTGAATTTCTGATTGTGATATGCTTAAAATAGGAAACTGGCTACTGTCTATTATTTTGTAACCAAAACTAAAGGTGTACAGTGAAATGTATTTTTCAATATCACCAGAAAAGCTTGTGAAAACTTTGACTAAATTGTTCTAAATAACAGAGAATTCCTGACTGATGTTAATTATAAAGTTTTTCTATCTTTCCTTCTTCCTGCCTCTCCATTTGTAAACACTCCTCTCCAAACTATGTTTCTCGCCTAATCCCGCCTATTAGCCACCACTTACCCAAATATCCTCTTAAGAGTTGATAAGCATTTCAGGAAATATATTAACAAACTAACTAATTGGGGGGCCTAAGTATCACTTTGAACTACCTACTCTTACCCCTAACATCTTACCTCTGTAAGCCAAGAGGCAAGGATGGTTGCCAAGTCTTACTGATTCTACTCTCCTAACATCTCTGGTATACATATCCTTTTATCCCTTGACACTGCCACCACCCTAGTACAAACCTTTGTTCTTTCACATCTGGACTATGAAATTAGCCTGCTAGTTGGTCTTCTTGTTTTAAGTCTTTCCCTACTCCAGTCCATCCTTCATTCAGATGTCAAATCGATGTTCCTAACGTACAGGTCTGACCATTGTCACTCCGGTCCTCTCTTTCCCCCTTTAATAAACTCCAGTGGCTCCCCTTATCACTTCTAATATCAAATATAAAGTACTCTTTGGAGTTCAATGCCTTTCATTATCTGGCCTCCTATCTTTCTGACCTTTTATAGCTTACCTTTGTACCTGCCCCTCTCTACACTGGGAGACAGTTGTGATGGGGTTGAAAGAACGCTGGAATTGGATTAAAAGAACAGAATTCGAATCCCAGGGCTGTCAATAAGCTGTTGTGACCTTGGACAAGCTACTTAAAACTCTCTGATTTTGAGTTTCTATGTACAATGGAACCAAATTATCCTGAGACCAGGTGCATTTAAGAACAAAAGGAATATAACAAAAAGGTTTTAAAAAAATGGAATACATCTGTCAGACTTTTACAGTTCTCCATTGTTAACTGTAAGAATACTAGAAAGACCACTTGGATTAGAACATCTCTGAAAGTGATGTACTACACTGAAGAAATGGTAATGAAATCAGGAAAAATAGCTAAACCTTGCAAAATATGAAAGAAATTGAAATTGATAAATTTTAAAGGTATTTTAGGGTCTAGTTCTCAAGTCAGCTCAAAAGGGGGAAGATTCCAAAAGATTACACAATATCGCAATGAGTATTTTTATATTTCACCCCACCTCCACTAAAGTGCTTAGCATCAGCAAATAATTTATTTTCCTGCTTTCTGACCTCTATTAAATCCATAAGAAAACTATGCGTTACACGAAACAAACATCTTTTAAAAGTTAGAAGACAAAGGAAAGTTTTCCACAAATAATATTCTACGTTGAACCATATCTTGATGCTCACGTCACTGAGAGAGGCACATAATATAAGATCCCAAAATGTTTGTTATTTATTGATTTCAAGAAAGCAGATGACTCAATTTAAAGAAGATTAGGCTCAGTTGGAGGGTACTTGGAGAACAGTTCCATGCTAATGATGCAAAGCTGTCTGTTGTTGCAAAACTGTATCTCTTCAGTATCAGTATTCTCCATTTGATACTATATGGCTGTGAGTCATGGAACACCACAATCTCAGAAACACTAAAATTACACATGCTTGCAAGGTAATAAAAAGGCATGACCTAATTCTAAATAAGAGCATAATACAGAGCACCTACCACCAGTACCTCAGTTTTCTCTTTTGTAAAATGAGGAGGCTGTAGTAGATGGATCTAAAAGGTCCCTTCCTGTCAAAATCTATGAGCCTAAGTACTGCTAAAAATCTGCAAATACAAGTAGAACAAAATGCCATTTATCAAGGACTGATAAAACTGGAACAGGAAGGCCAATAATATAGTGAGAATAAAAGACTGACAAGCCGAATGGTACACTGGTGTCACTAGGTACTAAAAGAAGTTATGTCAACAAGCTTTTATTAAGTGCCTATAATGAGTTAGGCCCTGTGTTCAGCTCTAGGGATTCAAAAACATGCAAAAGTCTGTTCCTGCTCTCAAGGAGCTCACAAACTAATGTGGGAGACAGCATGAAGAAACAAGATACAAGCACGATAAATTGGAGATGATCTTGGAGGGAAGGCATCAGTAATAAGGGGTTTTAGGAAAGGCTTCTTGGGGAAGGTGGGATTTTAAGCTGGGGCTGAAGGAAGTCAGGGAAACCAGGAGGAACAAATGAAAAAGGAATTACATGAGTGACAGCCAGTGAAAATTCCTGGAGCTGGGAGACAGAGTATTACTGGAGAGTGTAGAAGGAAGGGAATAAGGTATAAAAAGACTTGAAAAATTGGAAGGGGCCAAGTTATGAAGGGCTTTAAAAGCTAAACACAGTAAGTCTTCTGGTACACTTGGACAGAGTCTTCATGGGAGATTTATAGGAAAACATAAACCACACTGGATATAAAGTTATGGAGAGGTTGAGATTTGTATTCATGAATAGAATATAAATCTGCCAAAATCAGGTTATACTACGATCAGTCCTTTGATTTGTCCTTTAACATTATGGTATCCTTAAAGCTGACTGTTTTAATAAGTTCTCCCTAATTTTCTCCATTGTTTGTCAAAGATGTCTCTTGGTTCTTAAAATCAAACTTTACTTTTGAAATACCAGCTATTTCTCACAGGCTGTTGAAGAATTCTGATTTCTACCTGTGGCAGTTTTTGAAAAGATTTTATTTTTCCCCTCCACGTTTATTCTGGTGAGCTAAGTCATCAGAGACAATTTTAATTAAAAAAAAAAATTTTTTTTAATGAATCCTCTTTCAGTTCTTTGACACTGTGAGCGCATTTTGAAGATCTGTGGTTGCTAAGCAGTTAGTTTTCTAAAATAAAAACCTAGAAGATCAACTACACAATTATGCACAAATGAAAGAGTTCTAGAAAGAATGCTTATATATTGTACAGCCCATCCATAAATGGGTCCAATTAGTTAATTGGATAATGTAATTAATAGCTAGCACTGACTGATATAGCAATTAAGATTACAGAGTTCTTTACATATATTATTTCATTTTAAACAACAATCATGGAGGTAGGTGCTATTATTATTTCTGTTTTACAGATGAGCAAACTGAGGCATAGAGAAGTTACTTGATTTGCCCAAAATCACATAGCCAATATGTCTGAAGTAGTATTCAAACTCAGGTTTTCCTGACTCCAAGTCCAAAGTTCTATATATACTGTGCCACCTAGATGTCTAATTAGAAAACAGTGCATTTCTCAATCATGACTGTTACTTGGGGCTTTTCCTTACTTCAAATTCTGTTACAGGGTCACAGGAAATACAAAGGATCAAAAATTTAAAGTGATAAAGAAAAGTATCAATAACATACACAAAAAAAATAATTGAAACATTTTTCATTGCTTGTTAATTCTTTGGGGAAATTTCCACTTATTTTCTCACGTCATATATACATGTCATGTGCATTAGTTTATGTTTACATTTTTCCCTATAATTTTCTGATTCTCTTTTAAAGACTTAAGACTTCAAAATCATAGAGTATGGACATCTGAGCTAATGCATAATGCAAGTTCAAAGGAGGTAATATGAAAGTGCTTTAAAAAACATAAAGCTCTAAACCAAATTAGTTTCGTTGGAATTGCAGTTTAAATAAGTTTGGAATTCCAAGTTTCAGTGTAAGGAAGCATAGAACATAACAGGACATAATCAACAGGGAAAAAATGAAATAAACTAGATTTATTGAGGAAAAATGCTCACAATAAGAAGTAGTCAGGGTAGATGGAAACTGGTCAGGTCTGCTGTGGCCCTTTTCAAGGGCTCTTCAGAACACAGGCCCTTCCTGTCTTCCTGACCTTCTTATACATTACTCCTCTCCATGCATTCTACATTACAGTTGAAAGGTACTTTGCAATGCCTCACACAGGATGCTTTCATCTCAGTGCCCTTGCACTGGCTGTTCCCCTGGACTTGGAATGTGTTCCATACTCTCCTCTGACTCTTAAGAATCCCTTTCTTCCTTCAATGCTTAGGTCAAATGTCACCTTCTACAAAACCAGTAAATCTGATACATTTTTACAGGCTTCTTATCCGCATCAAGCAGGGACAGGGAGTAGGAGGAGCTGAGAAGCTTGCCCCGGGAACTGGTGCACATTCGTGCTGGGAGAAATA